TGCTGAACTGAAGAGTCTGACCATTTTAAAAACTACTACATATTACCAAACTGCCTTGATCTACGTTATCACCAACAGTGCATGAAAATGCTTATTTCTCTATACTCATCAGTGCCAAGTATTACCATTTTACTTACTTTTTGCCAATCTAACAAAATAATTTCTCACTGCTATATGAATTTCCATTTCTTCCTTACTAAAGTATAAGTATTTAGTTCAGCAATTTCTTAAAAAGTTAAGCATAAATTCATCATATGACCCAGGAATTCCATTCCTAGGTACCTACACAAAGAAATGAAAATATATGTTTACACAAAGACTTCCGCATGAAGTTTACAGTGTTGTTGTTGTTGTTTTGTAGAGGTTTTTGCTATAGGGCGCATGCACTCGCCAGAGAGACAGAAAGCAAGAACTCACCCCCCAGGGGGAATGACCACACCACAATCCCTTCTCCTCCATTCTCCTCTTGGGATCTTGGGCACGCACACACACGTGCCTGGCATGAGTTTAAGCCACCAGGTTCAGGACGCGAACCGTGGTCGACTACATGGGAGTCTAGTGACACAGCTATGATTCCAACTGCTGGTCCCTACAATAACATTTTTTATAACAGCCTAAAAACTGGAAATAATTCAGAAATCCACCAACTCAGGAATGAATAAACAAATGTACACAGGCTGAGTATTCTTTACACAAAATGCTTGGGATCAGAAGTATTTTTAAATTTCAGATTTTGCCAGGTTTTGTAATATGCGCACATACATAATTAGGTATGTAGGCATGGAACCCAAGTCTCAATACAAAATTCATTTATGTTTTATATACACCTTATACACATAGCCTGACAGCAATTTCATACAATATTTTTGTACCGCAGCGTTTTGACTATGACCTGTAACGTGAAGCCCGGTGTATAATTTTCCACTTACAGTCATGTCAGTACTCAAAAAGTTTCCCATTTTAGAATATTTTGGATTTCAGATTTTCACATTAGGGATGCTCAGCCTGTATATCCATAAAATAGGTTATTTAGCCACTAAAAATAAATGAAATACTGATATATTCTACAACATGGAAGAACCTTGAAAACATTACTAAGTAAAAGAAGCCAGACAATAGATCTTACTGCACATACTGCATTCCATTTATGAAGGGGGTCTTCAAAAGTGTGTGGAAAATGCCTATTTGAAAAATCTATGAATGGATTTACAAATTTGTCTATACCAAAATAAGCTTGTATTTTAATTACATTTTCTCATGAACTCTTTGAAGTCCTCTAATAAACTTCACGTCTAGTATAGGTACTATAGATGTACCTATAGAGACAGAAATGAGATAGGTTGGGGGTAAATGAGAGTGACTGCTAATGAACACAGGGTTCCTTTTCAGGGTGATAAAAATGTTCTAAAATTGATTATGATAATGACTGCACATCTCTGAATATACCCAAAACCATTAATTTTATATTTTCAGTTGGTGAACTGTAATGTATGTGAAATATATCTCAATATATTAGTAGCTGTAATTTTCGAAAGAAAAGTCAGTTACAAAGTAGCAGAGTATGATCCCATTTTCATAAGGAAGATGCATACACATATATAGACATGGTAATGTATACAGAAAAAAATTCCATAAAGGTCTGTAATAAACTATAACACTGATTTGCCTCTGGTGGTAGGATTAAAGGGGCATAAACATTTTCACAAGAGAAAAAAATTCTGTGGTCCTTTTGGCTACAGGCTTCCTTGCACTCAAAGTTTGCTACCTGGATTTTTTTTTTACAAGGAAAACAAATTACTGGTTTAATAGACTAAATTTTAAAAGGATAGATTTTATAAACTTTTTGAAAATATTAAATCTAGTCTTCTAGATTCATGAACTCACTAGTCTCATAAATCAAGTTATTCTTTCTGCCCCTTCTTAAAAATTAGGTAGTAATGATTATTCTAGTCACTAAAAACTCCCAAATGAATGTCTCTCTCTCTCTGGAGTAACAATGGAACTCTGAAGAGTACAAACTGTTTTGAGCAAAAAGTTTCCAGGACAGGACAAGTACTACTGCATAGGAAAAAAAAAAAAAAAAAAAAAGCCTGTTAAAAATGCTGAAGACAGAATAATCTGGCATATGCTCTCAAGCACGACTCCAAATCCAGGAGGACCTTTATCCTCATATAGTCAAACATGGATAGCACTAAGTAGCTTTTTGAAAGACACACTGGGCCAGGCCATGGCATGTGGTTAAAGTGGCTCAATCCCACATAGCTGGCTGACTGGTTCAAATTTCAGACCTGGCAGCTTGGGAAACAAGCTGGGTGCATGTGGGTGTGTGCCCAAATCCCAACAAGAGAGAGAAACTGAAGAGAAGGGATTGCAGTGTGATCATTCCCCATGACGGTGGTGAGGGGGGTGCACTTGCACTTTCTCACACGTCCCCCAACCAGCACACATGCCCTCTAGCAAATTATTTTTTAAAAAAGAAGCCATACCTACAACAGTTGGCATTTAATAAACAAAGTGTTATATGCCATGAATATTATTTTGCTAAAAAATTTTAATTAAGTCAACTTAAAGCCACCTCACGCTTTAAAACAAATGCTCATTCACAAGCCTGTTCATTAATAATACTTAAGTTCAAAAACTTTCCGCTTTTTTAAAGACTATAAACAATGCACGTACCTGCTTGGAACACAAGTTCTTTGCCTCCTACACCTTCTCCCTCTAGGTTAATAAATGCACGAATTAAGCTGGCCCAGTGGTGCTGAGTAATGAAACCATGGCTGGCCTTAATGAGAAGGTAAGAAAACAAGTATACGTTAAACAATCTTAAGTTATCAAAATTTCTATTTTTCTTACTTTAATACTTGAAATGCATGAGGAATTTGGAAACAACTATTATTTTTCAAAGGTAGTATCTAAGGACATCTTCTATTTCTCTTCTATGCAAAATGGTTGTGTGCAGTCTGCCGAATGGAAAGTCAACCATCACAGACAGCGGCCTGATTGCCATGAATGGTTCCAAGCAACATCCTCGGTAAGTGTGAGGATGTGCAAATGAAAGGGCAAAGGGACTAGAAGAGAAGAGTCAATCCATATGGTTGGACATTCATATGATATGGCTACCTCAAAACACCTCTGAAACATCAGAGTTAAAGAAAACCTGAAGAGAGTAATTATGCCATCAAAGTAACTATGTCTATTATGAATCAAATACTGCCAAGATAATCTGTTCTGAGTTGGATTTTAGAAATACTGGACATAGGGACTAGCAGATGGCATAATGGTTACGTCATTGAACTATATACAGTCGACTGTGGCTCGAATCCCAGACCTGAAGGCTTGAAACTCATGCTGGGAATGTGTGCATGCCCAAAATCCTAAGAGGAGAATAAAGAAGAGACTACTCTGTGGCAATCCCCTCTGTGGGGTAATTTCTCACTTTCCATCTCTCTGGAGAGCACACGTGTGCTATAACAAAAATCTCTCAAAAAAAAAAATAAATAAAAGAGAAAGAAATACTGGACATGTGTAGATAAGAGGCTGTGGATTCTTCTAAAGTACTTCCAGGTACCATATTTCTTTTGCATATCATTTTATGATACTACTCATATAAATAATAAAAATGCTTAAGTGTCAGTTTGTTTTATCATTAGTATTCAAAACTAATAGTCAAGGCAGTAAAATCTCACTTGCAAAACATTTTCCTCAGCGCCATTAAAGAGAAATATGATGGCATGATGTAGAGCTTCTGAAGATGTTGATAAGACTCGAAGGACTTCCAGCATCACTGAGCAGCTAACTGCGTCATCACTGGCACCTTTAAATCAGAAAACAAATTTGTTTCTCAGATTTTAAAACCTTTACAGGACAAACCATTCTGGTTAGGAATGGAGACTCCCCCTGGAGAAGTATCACAATAGTTGAATGACTGTCATCACCAGGTGACAATCTTGCCCATCAGTGGAAAACTCCATGAAGCTGGGATCTTTGTCTCATTTGCTTGCTGATTTACTTTCTCAATGCCTAGAACCATGTCTGGCCCACAGGAGTCATTCAATGAATATCTGTAGAATAAATCAACCAGATAGGACTTTAAGTTATCCTAAAAACTGGCACTCTCAGCAACCCAAGGCAATCTGTTCCATTCTTTTTTTTTTTTTTTTTGGAGAGGTTTTTTGCTATAGGGCGTGTGCGCTCGCCAGACAGACAGAGACAGAGAGATAGAAAGTGAGAAATCACCCCCCAGGGGGGATGGCCACGCCACAATCCCTTCTCCTCCATTCTCCTCTCGGTATCTTGGGCACGCACACACGCCCGGCATGAGTTTTAAGCCGCCGGGTCCGGGACACGAACCGCAGTCGACTACATGGGAGTCCAGTGACATAGACATTATGCTAACCACTGGTCCCCCAATCTGTTCCATTCTTTATCATTATTCTACATCCTCTGTAGTATTCTCACTTCTGGTGCTCACAGCTTCCTGCATCATCTCCCAATGTCAGCCACTCCTTTCCTGCTTGTTTTCCTGCCCAAATGATAAAAGCTGTAGGTCACTCCTGCCTAAATCATAAAAGTTGCAGGTTACTCCACATACAGAAGGGTCAGCTTGGCTGCTATAGCATGTTTCCAAGGTTTCCCCCATGGGATTAAATGATAAAAAGCACAAAGACTACATCAAAAGGAGATTAATGACCTAAGTAACATTTCTGGTTCTAGCACTGATAAAGTAGATAACCTCTTCTTGACTCCTCAACTTCATATTTTTATTAAAGGTGATTATAAAGATGACTTTAGATGCCTTGCTTTTTTTTTTTAAGCATTGTAAAAGAATGTTAAAGAAACTGGCTAGATACCTGAAGATACTAAGAGAGTGTTAGTTTTTTAGGTAAGCATGTCAAAAAGGAACCTTATTTTTCAGCCATATAGAGTGAAATACTTACAGAGGAACCAATACAGCTAGGATCTGCTTCAGGAGTCAAAGAGAAAGGAGTGGAGATGGAGAGGAAATAAGATCAAACTTCTGAAGCTGGGTGAACCACTGGGGTTCATTACACATAAACATGAATACTTTATAATATTTAAATTTTTTCCATAATAAAAAGTTTAACGAGCAATCAAAATAAGCAAGCACTGTAACAACCCAGACAACAGTCTTTTTTTTTTTTTTTTGGAGAAAATTTTGCTATAGGGTGTGTGTGCTCACCAGACAGACAGAGAGAGACATAGAGACAGAAAGCGAGAAATCACCCCCCAGGGGGGATGGTCTCGCCGCAATCCCTTCTCCTCCATTCTCCTCTTGGGATCTTGGGCACGCACACACATGCGCCTGGCGTGAGTTTTAAGCCACCGGGTCCGGGACGCAAACCGCAGCTGACTACATGGGAGTCCAGCGACATAGCCATTATGCTAACTGCTGGTTCCCACCAGACAATAGTCTTTCAAGGTTTAGACACTAGGAGTCAGGGTACTAAAGAGTTAAGTGTAGATTTGAAAACAAGAAAAGACTTGGAAGTAAATTTTAGCTCTTTTGTTTTACTGCATTATTTCTTGGTCTAGAAAGCAGGCTATCTACTGTACCTTCCAGGTTTGTTGTGGGGATTACACAAGATAAAGCACAGTGCCAAGCACCTAGGGATCAATGCTAGTTTTACCTTCTCCTCTTTGCAAACAAGCAAGGCTCAGTCTACACCCAGCTAAAACTATTTCAGTTCTCAAATTCCAGACCCCATTCCTACTCAAGAATAAACTACTTATTAGCTAATCGTGGTGATAATTATTGTATTGTATTTTAATCCAAGTGAGACAAAATAATAATGATTTAATTATAATTAAGCAAGAAGTATATGCTGTTATCAATAAAAAGTGACACCTTCCAGAAACCAAATAAACATTTTAAATAAAGTGTAAATTACTTTAAAATAAAAAGCAATCAATAAAATTTTTCTTTACTCAAAGAAAAATAGAAAAGTGTCTCTATTTAGGGCTTATTAGAAAGTTAAACTGTCTGTTTCTCTTCAGCTATTTTAATGAATCTGGTATCTTGGAAGAGAACTAGAGAAAGGTCAAATAAAAATCGAACATCTTTAAGGAAGCTCGAGGACAGTATCTAAAAGAGCTGGGTGATTAACCAACATCCCTCTCCATTTAGAATTAACCCTGAAACTGAAGCCACCCCCCAAAACACAGTGTCTTTACCACCAACAACCTGGAACCACACAGCAGACTCCAAGAAGATAATCAAGGCCTCTCTGTGGGTAACATTACTCCTAACTGGTATCAGTTCCTAAGTCTCAGATATGCTGCTTAGAAGAACTTAAGGCCTTTAAAAAAAATAATAATAACTTTATTTATTTTTAATTTGACAGGGAGAGACACAGTGAGACAGAGACAGAGAGAGAACACGAGTGAGCGAGAAAGTGAGAAAGCAAAGCCGCCAAGTCCAGGACTTGAACTGCCGTCAGCCATATGGGAGTCCAACATCCTTAAATACCATGCCACCTCCTGGCCTGTGAACTTAAGACCTTGGTGGTATGGGCAGTCTTAAAAGTTTTTAGTGAAAAATGGTTTCTAAAGGCTCACAAAAATGCCATCCTTTAATTACTGTACTCCACAAATGCACTTTTTAACATCTGGCTCTAAGGCTGTAAAGGGTGACAATATGCCACCCCAAAATATACCACCTCGGGATATGAATTATTTCTAAACCAAAAGCAACTGAGAAGTAAATATAAGAAAAATGATCAGTTTTCTCCCTGTTTGCTAAAGCAGGACATACGGTTACAAAGATGTCCCACCCTTCCTCTTTACCAGGAAGGACAACGGTTGGTAACCAGACAACTTTAGCCCCTCATTAGCCTAAATGACAGTGCCATAGGAATTTATTTAACAAAGTTTACCAACTAGTCTTATCTACTATTTATTTGCCTACCTACCATTTGCCACCCCCTAGAGACTCAAAATCCTTTTCCTTTGTCTTGTCACTTCTCCCAAAATGTATTTTTCTGTGTTGAAAATGGGAGTTCTAAGCCACCTCTGAGATTTACTCATTTTCTTGGTTATCTCCCATATGTGAGGTACACATCTTAACAAGGTTGTTTTTTACTTGTTAACATGTCTCTTTCTTATCAGAGTTCATCCCCGCTAAGAATTATGAAGGGTAGAGGGAAAACTATTAACTTCCCTCCACTTGTTCCTGACACTTGCATGCACGTCTTTCTCATAGAATGTTCTTCGCCACAGTGTTTATTTGCCCCTTCCCAGAATGTCAGCATCATAGTGAGCACATGGTGGCACGACTGCTTGGAAATGAACATAAAAGATCACTAAGTTTCCCTAGCACACATGAAGGTACCTCTGTCTTTATAGAACAGATATGGCTATAATGATTTCTGAAAAGACAAATGACATTATAAATTTGTCAAGTTTTCTGGTTAAAAATACTCTAGTTAAATCATTTTATCAAATAAATCAATTTTACTCCATATTTTATTTAACTATAGATGTTCATATTTGGTCTACAATCCAAAAATATATTAAATAATAGTTAACAACGAAAGATAAAAAAATTCCATGCCGGTTGCTTTTATGCTGTTTTTGCTTATATTTAATCATCCAAGCAACACTATTAGGAAAAGCACTGTTGTTTTCTCCATTTTACAGATGAGCAACTGGGGAAAGAAGAGGTGAAACAATTGGCCAAAGGGAACATTAAACTCTAGCATTCCAATTCCTTTCTAATGAAAGTGAAAGAACCAACTGGGCAGACTGGGCAGGAAATCCAGCACCAACTCAGGTTCTCCCTCTTATCTGCGGGGATCAGCTAAATCTACCCCTGTGGCAAATGAAGGGGCTGAACCAGATTCCACCTCAGCTCTTACCTACTTCTAAAAAGCCACAGTAACATCAAATGCTGCTTTCCATTCTTTTCTACGTATACTCTCTTTAACTGAAAACATTTTTATGAGAAGTCTTATTTTTAAAAAATGGAAGTTCCATTTAAGGGATTCACATTCTTTTGACAACAGTATTTACTGTGTCAGGCAATGCCCTGAACATCATATATTCTACTTTGCCGAAGTATTTTTCAGAGCAGGACTTACATTAATTAGTTACTCTTTAAGAGCATGGCACTCCAGGGAACCAGCAGTTAGCGTAATGGCTATGTCGCTGGACTCCCACGAAGTCGACCGCGGTTCGAGTCCCAGACCCGGTGGCTTAAAACTCACGCCGGGCGCAAGTGCGTACGTGCCCAAGATCCCGAGAGGAGAATGGAGGAGAAGGGATTGTGGCGTGACCATCCCCTCTGGGGGGTGATTTCTCGCTTTCTGTCTCTATGTCTCTCTCTGTCTGGTGAGCGCACGCGCCCTATAGCGAAAAACCTCTCCAAAAAAAAAAAAAAGAGCATAGCACTCCAGTAGACTCAAATTCTCATTTTACAGGTCAACAGAAATTGCCAGAAGAGATACCCTCCAAACCATGCATCCCTTAAAGGCAGGGACTATTCTTTACCCAGTGTGCCCAAAGACTAGTTAAGTAAACACCTGAAGTAGCAGAAGCTAATCAGGACACAGGGACACACGTTGCCTGCTGACACTGATAAGGCATCTTCAATATCCCAGATAACACTCCACATTCTATCACTGGGCTGCTGGCATTATTGTTAAAAATTTAATAATAAACAAGGCCAGCAGGTGGAGTGCTAGTTAAGGTGGTAGACTCCCACGTGCTAACCATGGTTCAAGTCCCAAAACCAATGGCTTGAAAATCATGATAGGTGCCTGTGCATGCATGCTCAAAATCCTGAGAGGCCAATGAAGAAGAGATTGTGTGGCCATCTGCCCTGGGGAGCGTGATGTACCATTTTCCCTCTCACGAACTCTGTCTCTCTCGCTGGTGAGCACATGCAACCTAAGGAAAAACCTCTTAAAAGAAAAAAATTGCCCAAGTAGCTTGTCTATGCCTGAGCACACTGACTGACTACACCTGCAATCTTGGCTGGCAAGAAGGCTGGGGAGACTGTGGTGTAATGGGAAATTGCCCAGGGTACCTGTCTCTCTTGCTTTCTTACTCTTTGATGAAGAAAATAAATAATCTTTTCAGATAAAAACTAAAAAACGGGCACCTACCTGGTGAGTTTGCAACTGAGTCAAAATGACAGTTCGCCAGAACAGCATGCTGGGCTCCATCTCTAGGTTCCAGCTTTACCACAACATTAGTGATATTGTCATAGTAGCTTGTAAAACCTCCCAAGAAATCAATGCTAAAGGACCCGGTAGGCCGTTGAACATCTACTGAAATCTTGTGAAGGCTGTTGCTTTGAACTTCAATCAGTTTAATCTGTTCCAAAAGGTAGCGCACGGCCAGAATTTCATTTTCTGGACTTCCTGTAGTCCTGGGGCCAATGGATGTTATATGTTCAAGATAATCCCTGGAAGAGACCAACGATGATGACAAAGACTGGTAGCATAAGACTAACACTTCGCTTAGAATTTTCCCTCTCCCTCTACCCAAAAACCTTAATTCTTTGATTTACAGAAAAAAAAAAGACTGCCTTTTACTATTTCAGACACCCTGTGAAAATCACTTCTAAAGTTCCATTTTATTTTACATCCCATGAGTTGCTCTTTGCAGAGTTTTCTCCACCTACACCACTCCCAACTTCTCCCAATTCATGCCATATCTAATCAATACAACTTCAAGAAATTGTATTCAAAACATGTGACTGCCAGAGGGTAAAGAAGATAGAATACGGCTTCACAGTGCCACACTCCTGAAGATTACTGATTCAGGGTTACTCATTCTAAGTAGCAGAAACCAATGAACAAAAACAATCAAGTCAAGAGGTTTTTAAATGCGTAGAGAAAAAAGTTTTGATGGTGAGGAGTGGACCCACCACTCCTATTGGTGCACACAGAGCCTAATAACTTAAATTCAGGCCAAAAACAACTCTACCCTTAATAAAAACAACAAATTTTTTCTTTTGTCTTTCCAGGGCATTCCAAGTGGGAAGAAAAGGCTGTCCTTGAAAAAACAGGCTTGCAGCAGTAGCTGTTAAAAGCCTTTTTCTAGCTTATGATTGCTTGAGTTTTGACACACTTAGATTACAATAATTTTGATTTAATCACCTCTCCTAACATACCTCAAGCCTTTTAAAAACAAATACAAATGATCAGACACTGCAGTCATTAATCCAAGATGCTCAAAGACAAACTGCAGGGATCTGAGAACTTCTGAAATTATATGCAAATTTTTGATGGGCTGTCTCCCAGAAAGAGACTCCACAGTTTTAGATTTGGGAACTGTGACACCCCCAACCCCAAAGTTAGAACACTACCTTATTCCCTCCCAATATCCACTCAAAAAGTGAATTTATGAAGTGGTCTAGGTACACAAATTTCACTCTCCTTCATTTCATTTGGAAACCAGAAGGGCTAACCAAGGTGAAAAGTGGACATTGCTCCAGAAGATAGGAGGAACAACTGAAGACCAACCATCTGCACGCAGGGCAGAGTGTGGCTGGAAACGCAGACTCTATCCACATGGCAAGTCCCAATCTGCACCATGAGCTTAACGGAAGGCCAAGCAAGCCCCATGACCCGGCAATTCGGATGCAGGGAGGAATGTGCAAGGCCATGGCAGTCCTCAAACTGCCTGATGATGCCGCAGAGCCCCGGCGGTCCCGCAGGGGCGGTACACACAGGTGCGATGCCCCAGAGCTAGGCAGAAGCCGCAAAGGGAAACGCGCGCAGTGCCGGGCGAAAGCGGTCGGTACCTGGCTTGGCTAGCGTCGAACTCCCCGCGGTGACCAGCGGCCCCGCGCAGCACGAGCTGTTGCAGCGAGAGCTGCACGAGCGCCCGCAGAGCTAGCAGGTAGAACGCCAGCCCCAGCGCGGCGCGCGCCTCGGACAAGCCGCTCGCCGCGCCCCGGCTCACGCCGCCGCGAC